AACAACAATCACTTTTGCATTGGGTCAGTGAACCAAATATTTAAAGTTGATGAAATTGTTGGAAAAAAAAAAAAGATTCTTTTTATTGCAAAGTTCACATAAAGCTCTGAATTAATTCATGTTGATTTCATTACTGTTTAATATTTTTCATGGGGAAAGCTTAAGCATTGATTACAATGGTATTGATGGTTGATATTGATTAAATTATTTTATTCAATATATTGTGAAGGGATTCTTATAGTTTGACATTTTAATTCTTTAACTGTAAACAATTCTCATATTGTGTGTTAGTTGAAATAGGTATTCTTAGAGAGATTTTCATATATTGTCCATTTGAGAAAGTTTTTGCCTTTTGTTTGACTGAATGGGAAATAGGAATTTCAATTAAACTTTTTTTTTTTTAAATGTAGACAAGTTTATTTTAGACTTGGCTCTGTTCTTCTACCTAAGATAGCTTTATTTGAAGTGGTTGACCTATTGGCCTGTTCTATTCTTTTTTTTTTTTTTTTCTGGGGTGTCAAAGTGATGGATTTGGAACAGAATCATCCTTTTGAGTTTGTAGGAATTTTTTCTTTGCAGTTTATAGGATTATAATTATGGACAACCTATGACTCTGATTTTTCTTACTGTCACTATTACCATCCTATGCTTGTAACAAATATTGTTTACCTTTATTCTTTAAGTATATATATATACCCAAAAAAAGTGATGGCTAATCAGATGAAGTATTTTACAGAGATCAAAGAAAGAGAAGATTAGATAGATTCCTGATCCTTTCAGTTGGATTATGGCTAATATAGTATATTTGTAGAATGAAGGGTTTGATAAACACCTAGGTTTTGGATTTGTGAGAAAATGTCACATTTTTCTATTAATAAGTAATAGTTTTAAAGCATTAAAATTTTTTAAAGTTGCTTTCTATTCAGGCACAATTATGAAACAAAAACAGAATGTAAGAATATAAATTTCTCTCTACTTTTAAAAATAATAAGGAGCTTTGGTGATGTAGTGGGTAGGACATTTGGCTGCTAACCAGATGGTCGGTGGTTCAAACCCGGCAGCTGCTCCGTGGGAGGAAGATGAGGCAATCTCCTTCCAGAAAGATTTATAGCCTTGGAATATGAGTTGGAATTTACTGGATGGCAGAGGTTTGTTTTTTTTTTTTAAATTAATTAATAGACATTGGCAACAACAACTGAAACAAAATCACAAAAATCCCTGACATTCTATAAACTTTACCAAATGATAGCAAAGTTGGATTGGCCTCAGTTTTGACCAGGTACTCTGTTTCTGCCTCAGTTTAATTTTGTCTCTACCATTGAATTTTCATTGGTAAAAAAGACTTCTAGAAGATTGTTTCAGAATCTTTCTTTTTACTTTCCTTCCCAATTAATTATGGCATTGCTTGTAAGATTTTCAACTTTCTATAGTCATTGTATGCAGGAGACCCTTTTTGGCCTTAGAAGTGCTAAGTTATCTTATTATTTATTATGTCTTTATATTAAAATTGAAGTCTCTGGATGGTGCAATTAATGTGGTTGGCTGCTAACCAGAAGATTGTAAGTTTGAGTCCACCTCAAGGTGCTTTAAAATAACAAAGGGCTGATTATTTACTTAAAAAAAAATCAGCCATTAAAAACCCTGTGGAGCACAGTTCTACTCTGACACACATGGGTTACAGTAAGTCATAGTTGACTCAATGGCAGCTGGTTCACATTAAAATTATTTTTATAGTAGAATTTTATATGTTATACTCTATCTATCTATATACATACATACATACAATGTATTATATTGTATAGTGTATTATATAATACATATAATAAATATATTTAAACATATTTTTTATAGCAAGTGGTTTTTCTGACAGGTTCAATTTAATTGTGAATAGTTTTAAAAGTTATAAGTTTTTAGTGATTTGTAGTGATGTGGGTTTGAAAAGGACAGAAGTCACTTGTGAGTGATATTTCTTTTTAAAATACAAGAAGCTCCTAAATCCAAGTTTTTTCCTAATTTTGGCACATTATATTTAATGTAATTCTTATATTGGTGAAAATATACATAGCTGAAGATAGCACCATTCTAACAATTTCTTCATGTGCATTCAGTGACATAGATTACATTCTTCAGCCTGTGCTACCATTTTTGCCCTTCTTTTCTGTTATTTCACCATCGTTATCCTAAAGTCACATAAACTTACTAAACTTCCCATCCAGCCTTTTGAGTGGCTCAAACTTATTTGATGACAAAAACTGACTGAAACTAATAGGCATTTATTTGTAGTATTTATTAATTACAGTATTATTATTACTTACTTTTGTTGAGAAAATACACAGCAAAACATACACCAATTCAACAGTTTCTACAGGTACAATTCAATGACAATGATTACATTTTTGAGTTGTGCAACCTTTCTCACCCTCCTTTTCTGAGTTGTTCTCCCCCTTAACATAAATTGACTGTCCCCTGAGCTTCCTATCTTTGTTCAAGTTGCTGTTGTCAATTTGATCCTGTGTAGATCTTAAAAGAGCATGAAAGCCTTTTTTTTTTTTTTTTAACTAGTTAAGCTAAACTGTTTGGTTTTAAGAAGAATTCAGGGGATAGTTTTGGTTTCAGGTTTCAAGATTATCTCAGGGCAATAGTTTTTGGGAATTGATCCAGCTTCTATGGCTCCAGAAAGTCTGGAGTCCATGGGAATTTGAAATTCTATTCTGCATTTTCCCCTTTTTGATCAGGGTTCTTCTAGAGATTCTTTGATCTAAACGTTCAGAAGTGGTAGCTGAGCACCATCTAGTTCTGGTTTCATGGCAAAGGAGCAGTATTCATGGAGGCAATTAGTCCCATGCCCTAGTAGTACAGTAGTTAATCACTCAGCTACAGTTGCTAACTGAGAGGTCAGTGGTTCGAACCCACCAGCCACACCAGATGTGTCAGTCTACTTCTGTAAAGTATCCTTGGAAGCCTTATGGGGCAATTCTACTCTGCTCTGTAGGTTTGCTGTGAATCAGAGTGGATCAGAATTGACTCAGTGGCAGTGGTTTTTTATTTTATTTTTTTGGTTTTAAGTAGAAATAATGTGTTTGATTGTTAGGGTAGTGATATAGACCTCACTGGGAGCTCTGGTAGTGTAGTGCCTAAGGCATTTGATTGCTAACCAGAATCTACTAGCCACTCCTTGGAAGGAAGATTGGACAATCAATCTACTTCCATAGAGATACTGCCTTGGAAACCCAGGGATGGGTCGCTATGAGTGGATCCAACTTGAGGGCAGTGAGTTTGTTTTTTGTTTTTATAGACCTCACTGGGGCTGTTAGTGTAATATATGGTACATACACCATGCTGCCCTTCTCAAACCTGAAATATTTTGAATTCTGAAATACATCTGACTTCAAACATTTCATATAAGGGATTATGGACCTGCATGACACTGTTCTTGTGTCTTGTTCTGGATTGTTCAGGATGAGAGTATTTTCCTTAGAATAGTCTTGAGTAAGATGTGGATGCCTGCATGATAATCATGAGATTCAGAATTATGATTTTATAGGACCTGATACTAATTATAGACAACTTTCTCTACATTTAATGCCCAGTAGCTGTTTTACTTTTATAGTTATTACAGGGTAGTTTGAATTAATAGAAACTAAAATGGTGTGAAAATGCTTTTTTTTTTTCCTTTTTTTTTTACCTTATTATTGCCTTTTCTTAGTTTTAGGTGCAAAAAAAATTATTATGAGTTTTACTATTGGTGTTTGGCCAAGAGTTGGCTATGACTGTTTTCTCCTCCTGCTTCCCCTCTCTTCTTAACCCCTGCTCTCCCTCTTCCTCCCCAACCTGATATTTTAGATTTTTATTTATTTGATTGGTAGCAAAGAAGATTAGATGGTTACTGAGTAATGTTGGCTTAAAGGGACTGGGCTATCCTCGGCAGAAATAGAAGAAATTTGATAGAAAGCTTGTAGTCCTTATGAACTCTTTAATCTTCTCAGCCCATCCTTTTAGTAGCTACTGTGGCTGCTAGTTTGCAAGATAGATTAGCTTTTGCAGTCCATTAGTTCATTCCAGGGAGCTCTGGTGGCGTAGTGCCTCAGGCATTTGACTGCTAACCAGAAGGCTAGTGGTTCATACCCACCAGTCACTCCTCAGAAGGAAGGGTGGGCAATCTACTTCCATAGTGATACCGTCTCGGAAACCCAAGGAGGGGTCGCTGTGAGATGGATCCGACTTGACAGCAGTGAGTTTGGTTTGGTTTGGTTTTAGTTCATTCCATTCTTGTGGCTCTGGTTATTACTGCTGAGAATTTTTCTAAGTTTAGATAACTCATCATTTGTTGATATGGACATTATTCTAATAATCAGGAAAATTGATAACTTCTCTTGAAACTTCCATTTTCTATGGCTTTGCTATTGTTTCATTTCACCTGCATACTTGGTGCTTCTCATATTCATGTGGTATATTAGGGATATAGTCAAAGTTGATTGCCATAAATTATCTATGCTCGTTTTTGCTTGGTGAAGAGTGAAATTAACGGAAAAAGCTTTTCGGGCAAGATTTTTCTTGTTCTGGATGTGTATCTTTTGATATTTGCAAGTCCAAATAGTTATAAAAGTACAATGTAAGGGAAGGAGAATTTGGTCTATATTACATTATCATTAAGTTAAAAAATAAGTGCCTAATTTTAAAAAGAAGTGCATTTAGGATACCAAATATAATATGAGCAATATTACACAAAATGGTTCTCCTCTTTTTAAAGCATATTTTAATTTAGAATTATATATTTATTCATCTTCATTATTGCTATATTGAACTAAAACCATTACACCACCTTCATTGATTTATTATTTAATCTGATTGGGAATGTCTACCATTATTTGACCTAAATTTCTTTATATTATTTTACAAGTTATTCACAAATTTTGGTGGTTTCATTTGTGTCAGCGTGTTGTGTGTGTGTGTGTATGTATATACATATGTGTGGTTTTTTTTTCTCATATTTTCAACAGATTCTGAAGGGAGTGGTAATGGAAGTGAAGATCCATCAAAGGACAGTGGAGAAGGCTCCTGTAGTGATTCTGAAGAAAATATTTTAGAGGAAGAACTGAATGAGGATATTAAAGTAAAAGAAGAACAAGTTAAAAATTCTGTGGAGGAAGAAATACTGTCGTCAGAAAAACAATTAATTAAAATGGAAAAGAAGGAGGAAGACGAGAATGGAGAAAGACCTAGAAAGAAGAAGGAAAAAGAGAAGGAGAAAGAAAAGGAAAAAGAGAAGGAGAAAGAAAAAGACAAAGAGAGAGAAAAAGAAAAACCAACAGTATCTGATAATGTGGCAGCTTCTGCTGCTGCCACTACACCTGCCATGAGTCCTCATGCTGTTAATGCATCCCCTTCTGTCCCCAGTACGACACATACTACAGAGGAGCAAGTTAGTGAGCCAAAAAAGTGGAACCTTCGTCGAAACCGACCACTGTTGGATTTTGTATCCATGGAAGAACTGAATGACATGGATGACTATGACAGTGAGGATGACAATGACTGGCGACCTACTGTAGTAAAGAGAAAGGGAAGATCTGCATCACAGAAAGAGGGAAGTGATGGTGACAATGATGATGATGAAGATGAGGGAAGTGGGAGTGATGAGGATGAGAATGATGAAGGCAATGATGAAGATCATAGCAGCCCTGCTAGTGAAGGGGTTTGCAAGAAGAAGAAGAGTAAAGTTCTTAGCAGAAACAGTGCTGATGATGAAGAACTGACCAATGATAGCCTGACACTTTCTCAAAGCAAGAGTAATGAGGTAGATCAACCCAATTTTTATGATATCTTGTCTGTCTGGGGAAAAGGGAATTCTTCTCTAAATCACTCTACTAGTATTATTTGGCTTCCTTGAAACCCTGTTTTTAGACAGCTGTGGGAATGAATGAGAGCCCTAACTGTAACATTTATTCATTTGGCCAGCAAAACTTTATTGAGCATCTGCTATTTTTCACCGTTCTCAAGGAGCTCACAATCACCGTCGTCAAGGAGCTCACAGTCTATATATTTAGAGGAATTAGAGAAATATTCTTATATTCATAGACTTGGAAAATGGTAGAATTTTCCATTCTCTTTTTCATCCCTCATCCCATTGTTCATAGGACTGCTGAATGGTGCTGAGTGGATTATAAAACAAAGGCCTCCTTTTTTTCAACTTAATTATATCCAATCCACATAAAAATTCTTAGTTTGAGAATAATTTAGAGCAACAATTTGGTTAATGCTTGTCTCAAACTTTTAGAATCTTAATTTAAATTTCCTTTCTAGTTGTGGCACCCTTCATCTGAATAATCACAAGATCTTTGCTTTATATATGTGGAAGTAAATATGAACTATGTATTTACAAACATTTAGTAAATAAGTTTCTACAAAGAAATAAGAAAGCAAATATTTCTATTGATTATCATAAACCTACAGTAATGGCTCAGTTCTTCCACTTGAAGTACTACTACTGAAAGTTAGGTTTATCCATTGGGCCCAGAGATGCAACATTCAAGACTCTTCAGTCAAACACATTGTGTCTCTTTGTTTGTGTGTTTATGTATATGTTTTTCTTCAAACGAAAGACTGAGTTGTCACCTTACATGTAGATGTACCTGTTACATCACATGTAGAGCTATAATAAAGTCTGACATTTCTGTTAATGCGTTTATAGTCACCAAAATTCACTCCTTTACCAAACACTTATTCTATGTTTTATTTTCTTTCTTTTTCCATTTCATTGAAGTAGTTTAAACTGGTAGAAAAGTTATCTTTTCTCTGCTTTATTTGTTCCTTCACATTTCTTCTGTTGAAAAGTTTTACATAGGAGTGATTATCTATTGTAATTTTGTTTCATTTATAAATTTGGAGATTTCAAAAGCATGTGTAGCAGGCTATGAGAGGTTGAATGTCAGTAGAGATGAAACAGAAGTGTACACTTTAGATTATAAAATCATTAGCTAATTTCATTGCCTACCTCCAATGCCATCCTTATTCTTAGTTGAAATGTTCATTTGGAGTATAGTATAGTATTTATAATGATGTAACACAGGCAGGTCTATGTTATTGATGCCAACTTAGGGAAACAGAGGTATGGAAAATACAGTTGTTCATATTTGATTTAGGCATGCATCCAATTCACCTGATACCACTTAACACTCATTCTGTATCTACCTTTAGTAGTGTCAGTTTCTTACTTCATTTCTATTAGGCTGATACTCAGAAAAATAGATTAATGATAGAGGCAGTGTAAATTAGGCTTAGGCTGCATTATATGTTTGGGTTAATGGTCCCAAAAAATGTTCTAGGAATGATATTCCAAAGCATATCTTGGATAAGTGCCCTGATAAAGTCAAGAAGTTTCTTTTTGTATTAGCTAAATTAAATTCCTGTTACGCAAGTTTATGTTAATTTTCCTTTTGCTGTGCCCTGGGCAGAAATGTGTAAGAGTTTATAGGAAGTCATCTTCACTCAGAATATTACTCTACCTATAAAAGTGATAAATTTTTTTTCCAAAATGCTGTTGGTTAAACTGACAATTTTTTGAAGATTCTAATTCTACTTAAATTATACTTCTTATAGCTAGATATTAAATTTTAATGAGAAAGTAATACATTGAGATTATTACTTTATCTTATGTCTCTAAATTTTCTGTTCATGAGATCTAGGTGTAAAACGATGACTAAAGGTAATTCTTGTTGCTTTGCAGCCAATGATTGTGTCTTAATCTTCTGGATTATTTAGGTATTGATACCTTGCCAAGTATTTATTAGATAGTTAATAAGTATATATTTGATTATATTTGAAATGTTATTTTTCTCTACCTTTACACTAAGTTTTCAAACCACTTCGTAGTAGAGATACTGGAAATTGTGGCTCTGGCAATACATAACAGAATTATAGTTTATTAATTTTATAAGCAGGTAAACTTTTTCCATGGCAACTGTGTGAACTGCATTTGTGGGGACATAATTTTGGGCATCACTTATAGGTTAATGATGCCTAGGAACTTTCAGAATTATATAGTTTCTAAGGAGAATTTTATTTTTTTAAAGAGGGGTTCCTTTTGTAACTTGCTCTTTTTTTTTTTTCTTTTTATTGTGATTTGGGTAAAAATTTACAGAGCAAATACACTTTCCATACAGCAGTTCACAGACACTTTGTTTCGTGACATAGACCACAATTTACCACAATGAAACATCTCCCCTCCTACTTCCTCCC